AAGGGCCAGCATTGGAATTCTGGGAGCTGAAATCCACCTGTCTTAAAATTGCTGAGGTTGGAAGACACTGTCCTAAAGTCAAAAAAATCCTTTCATTTACTTATTTTTTCTTCCTCCTATTGCAATCTTTATAGATAGTGCTTGACTTACAACCATTCGTTTAATGACCATTCAAAGTTACAACAGCACTCAGAAAAAAAGTGACAGGACTGTTCTTCACACTTCTGCAGCCTCCCCGTGGTGAGGCGATCAAAGTTCAGATGCTTTGCAATGGCATGTACTTATGACAGTTGCAGTTTCCCAGGGTCGAATCATCCTCTTACAGATAATCAGAGTTGGAAGGGACCTTGTAGGTCATCTAGTCCAACCCCCCACCTAAGCAGGAGAGACACTTCTGACAAGCAAAATCAATTGGGAAGCCAGATTCATTTAACAATCATGTGAACTCACTTTAACAAATGCAGCAATTCACTTAATAACCACGGCATAAAAATGAGTAATACTCTCTCCGCAACCATCTTAGCCGCAGAAAGGTTGGATTCGACTGTGGTCATACGTCGAGCACTGTCTGGACTTGACCCGCCGTGAGCCAGAAAGCAAGGCCTTCGCTAGAGACTGTAACCTCCCCCAAAATAAAGAATATAAGTTCTGCTTGTGGTTGCAAACCACAAATTGCTGCCCGGGCCACTAAACCACGGTGTGTCCTGCGGATCGAGCTGCAGTTAAAGGCAGAGGAAACTAGCTGGGCTGGGCTTGGATCTAGATTTTATTCAAGGGAGAGGAAGCAAGCGGTGGAATCTGGAGAATTCACATTATCTCTTCGAACGTGAATTTTTGGCCGGCCCTGTTCCCCCCATGCAGGCACAGGGTGTTCTCGGACTCCTTATCTAACCCTCAATAGCAAAACTGAGGCTTAAGGCCAAAGTCAATCCTCCAAGCTCCACTTCATAAAATGTCTGTTTTGAGGCTGTACAGCAAACGGAGGTGGGTTTGTTGCTGTTTGGGTGTGAGAGTTGGCTTCAAGACAAACCGGCTGTTGTTTTCACACAATACATGAAACCTGGGTTATCCAAATAGGTGCTGGCATTTCCAAAATGACTGACGCCCGAACAGGTCCATCGTATTTCTACCTAACTTCGTAGGTGGTTTAGTGACCGTTCAAAGTTACAAAGGCAATGAAAGAAAAGAGGATCATTTTCACTAACGACCGTCACAGCATCCCCGCAGTCACGTGGTCAACATTCAACCACTTAGGGACTGACTCATATTTACGACGATCCCTTGGTCACGTGATACCCTTTTGCGACCTCCTGAAAGTCATTAGGGAAGCCAGATTCGCTTAACAACCGGGTTGTTATTATTTCTGTTTCAAGAACAGAAATAATCAACTCAACTGTAGTTATAAGGATTACTTATATTAAATGTATAGTATCATAGGTGTCAAATCCTTTTCCTAATTTGGCATTCTCTGTGGGACCACAAGGACACTATCGGAAGGGAACATGGGGCTTGTAGTTCAACCAAGACTTACGGCCGGTGTGTCCACAGGGTATGATCAAAAGAGTCAAGCGGGCGGCCACCCCTCCACCCAAATTCTTAGCAAAACGAATGCTTCAGCTCTACCCTTTAAATAGTAAAATAAATGTAATAAATTTGTGTAATCTCTAGATATAAAAAGTACAACTTTAAATATACATATATGGCATTGTTAGGATTGGTTGCAGAGTCGGCCAGATGTTGAGACCAGATCTGGCGATTTGGTCCACCTCTTCAGTCCTTCCCAAGGACCTGAACAAAAGGCAGATGTGGATGTTAAATAGTATAAAAAAAGATTTTTGGGGGGTAGGATTTAAGCCATTCCAAGTTGAGCTGCCTTTCACAATTGACCAGTAGTAAATTTGTCAATTCCAATGTTATTCAAATGCTGCTCCGGTCGTTTGACATCGCACACTGGGCATCTATGATTATTGGCACCTCCCTGTCATTAATTCTATTAATTGTCAAATTACAACAATTAATTTTCCCTCCCACATTTTTTTCCCACTGGCAGGCCCCAACCCACAACCCTCAAAGGGCACTCACATTCTGGTCCCCGTCGGGGGTTCCTCGCCTGGCATGGGCTGGTCAGCGGAAATGACCAGCTCGGACGACAACACCATGTCTATCCGAGTCTGCCCCTCGCCCAGAGCAGTGATTGGCAAGTACCAGTTCAGCGTGAAGACCCGAAGCAAGGCTGGCGAGTACGCTGCCCCCTTCGACCCCAACAACGAGGTGTACATTCTCTTCAACCCCTGGTGCGCAGGTAAGTTCTGGGGAGAAATAAGTGGGCGAGAGAGGGAAAGACGAGTCCAGAATTGCCAGCCTGGCTGTGTGGAAATGGACGTATCGCAACTAAGATGGGATCTCAGCTCCCAGAATTCCCTTATTAATAATTATATCAGATTATCGATCCGTTTATATGTCATCAGTTAAAGAGTGGCCCTCTATTTTTTTAGAGAGGACAATCACTTTGGAAGGATGGAGAGTGGGAGGAATGGATAGATGGATAGAAGGCAGGCAGGCAGGCAGGCAGGCAAGGAAGGAAGGAAGGAAGGAAGGAAGGAAGGAAGGAAGGAAGGAAG